AACCCTGCAGGGGTTTCTGTGAACACTACCTACTACTACTATGGTAGACTGATCTGTTTGCCCTGCATTCTTAGACTGCCTACTTGTTTGTGCCTTCTACAGGGGTATCCCATATCACGATAAAACTACTTGCCTATTTCTCTCTGGGGGATCCCCAGGTAACTAAGATGACGCTGCCCCGCACGCTTACTGGTCAATGACTGTGTAACCTACACATCCTTCACCCACGTTCGAGAGTCTGGTCCCCTCCCGATCGCCTGGCAACTTTATGCACCTGTGGCTTTTTAGCCTCTAGATCAGATGTCTGTAAATTCTTGGGGTCAGATGACCCATGCCCTCCCCTCCCAGACGGAGTGGCACAGACGGCTGCGTTTGACAAGCGGATGATGTCCTTCATGGCTCTGGGCGATCTCAACTCTGCAAGGGAGCCAGGAGAGGTATCAGAGACACCCAAGACTAACTGCTGGACCCTATCATGGGTAAAATACCAGAAAATGCCAACATAGTCCAGGAATGGGCTCCCAATGTTCGTGAATGAACTCAGATGTGTCCGTTCATCAGAAACCCCAGTGTTCGCCTCTCCTATGGAAAGCGCATAGCAGCACTCCTCCGTATTGATGGATGGTTGGCGGATCTGGGCTCCAAATCATTGGGACCCCAGGCACAAGGCACACTTTTCCCGAGGGAACTTATAGCACACGTTTATGGTCCCGTGGCCCTCATTAAGACCCACACCTCCTGGAGGAAGGTGTTATGTGGTAATCCCTACGGGGTGTTTTTTGGGACCGACTGACAGCGGGGCTTTGTCACCAACCTCTTTGTGACATCTGACTACGCAACCCGCTATCGCTAACTCTATTTCCTGGTAGGAGCGAGAGTCAACCTCGGGTGCTCCGGACGATTGGACAGAGAACACAGAACGCACAGACGCGCTAGATACCATTTTTCCTCAGGTTAACGACTCTGTACTTTCTTCTCCGCCTACAGGTGTTTCCAACGTATCTAGGCAGAAGGCATTCAAACTTAATAAGGAACCTTTCGCAATGATGACATAGGTCGCATAGGTCTCCACTATCCTCGAGGAATTTTCACATGGTCCTTCATTTCAACACTGTTACCCTACATACACTCACCCGGATCGTGCGATACTGCCTTCCTCCATCTACGCCATATTCCCATATTCACTACGTTACCAGGACAGGCAGCGAGGCCTGGTCAGGTTCACTCAGACAGACCCCTACGATCAACCGGACTTCGCTCGGTAGTCGGATGCTAGCTTGTAGGGCAAGGGGCTGCGAGGACAACCTGCGAGACCACACCCACAGAAACAGGTTCACAATTCAGGAATTCTCCCTTCACGTCTCCCTTCACGTTAGACCTAGCATTCTTTGTGCAGCACTTCACTATCCACTGCCTGGTAAAGGGGCATTCTGCCGGTTGCATCCTACTACGGCTGGACAGAGCATCGACAGTCAGGTATACCAATCGCCTGGACGGAACTAACCCCCGTCTTCTATCAGACATCATAAAAGTCATCTTCGATTCCTGCCTTCCTTGCAGAACCCTGAGGTCGGCCTATCTCCCAGGGAAGACACATATCAGAGGGACCGCCAGAATGCGGTGTTCTTCAATTGGCACATTGCACAAGGGTGCACAATAGTGATCGCACTACGGCCACTAGGCTTTTTCCTCCCTTGCGATGATTGCAAAACTTCTCCATCATCTCATTGTTCAGCGAATAACACTGCCTTGGCCATCCCACTGTGACGGAGTCAACCTTGTTTCCTGGCCCTTAAGGGACTGACTGATGAGGATCTCCTCCTCCTACATTCTCACGGATCCGAAGGAAACCTGCATCTACTCTTCCTGGAGGGTCGGCAGACCCTGGTGGCCAGGACTCTTGCTGGGGTTCTTGGCAGGTTGGTGAACTATTGCAGGCTGCTAGGGACCTCTTAGGATTCTCTTTGGACCCAGGGACGTAACCTCTGGGCATTCCCAGTCAGATTGATGTTTGGAACTGTACCTTGATCCATTATGGGGTGGTTTGGACAGCTCTATGACCTGTGTCCCGGTCTGGGGACTCAAAATGGACAAAGATCCTAAAACGTATGTACCAGTTACCCAGTGACATCCACCTCCGGTTCATGGGACGTGGAGGTTGTTCTCCGTCTTTTGTATAGGACTGGGGCACCTACTGATGGACTTTTATGCTTGGACCGGTGGCTTTCAGTCAGGTACCGGATGATCCGGTGTTTGACGGGGAGGTTTCTCCCATAGACCCGACGTGCTAGATATCCCCTCGTACTTTCGGCTTCTTCATTAATTTTCTATTCCTTTCTCAGCATTAAAAATGCAAAATAGGAAGCCTCCTGTCATGTTGTAAAATTGAAGATTATGCTAGCTTTAGTGTACTAATAATCTTAATTTTAGTAATGACAGGAGGCGAGTATTTTCCCTCCCTGCTTCGCTACCCACCCTATCTGTTTATTTTCTTTGTATGTATCATGGGTCTAAGGTAGGTTTGGCTTTCAATGTTTTGTGCTTACATTTATGATTGTGTTTCCATTAATCTGGAATTCTCATTGGAGTTTTACATTAGTTATTCAGTTATCAGATTGCAGTTTACAATATTTTTCTATGGGATAATGTATATGGTACATTACTTGGATTTACATGTTCATGACTTTGTGTTTAAACCTGTCACACATTCTCTTTTCAGTCTGATTCATCTCTGAAGACATTTGGTTGTTCGTGTGAAACTCTCTGGAATTTTGATCCTTCGGATTTGATTTGTCCCTGAACACATTTTCATGGTTTGTATAGAATTCACGGGGAAGTTTGCTCCTTCGGATGTTGGACCTAAGAGTTATTATTTTGCTTGTTATATGTTTACTTCTGTTTGATCTCGTTTTCTGAAAGAGGAAGTGATGAGGTCACTATGCCTTATGTACATCCTACTCTCTTGTGATTGGTTCTTTTTACTATATGTTTCTTTGCTGCTGTGTGGAGCTAGTAAAGAGAGATTATGCAAAATACTCGCCTCCTGTCATTACTAAAATTAAGATTATTAGTACACTAAAGCTAGCATAATCTTCAATTTTCTTCTGCACCATTTATTGCCTGTGGTGTCACTCTAAGTGTGCTAGAGGTGGGGGCCATAGGCCCTCCCACCGGGGCTGACAGCCACAAGGCTGTGGGACCTGATGGGATTCTGTACTTCGTGCCTCCCTCCTTCCTATCTGCAGCCCAATCGCTTGAGTAATTGGGTAACCAGGCCGCTCTAATATGTGGCCTCATGCATGCAGTGCAGCTCATGGGTGAGCCTCCTGTCTTTCCAAGTGTCTCAGGCACTCTGAGTACATAGTCCCACCCTCCGCTCTCATGGCACTCGTGGCAGGCTGCATATGACCAGGGCTTGGTAGAAGGCAGGAAGGTGCTGGGTTTTCCAGAGACTCTGTGGGTAGACAAGGCAGCTAAATAGGCTTTGGTGATGGCGGGGAGGAGGGAGAGTGGGCCTGCATGCTTTTACTAACTCCTGTAGAAAACTTCTCCAATTTCATCATTAAAGGCACAGTTTTTTTGTTTTTTTCTTTGTCTCTGCATAATGAGCAGAGATTCTTAAAGCTATATTAAAGTTCCAAATTGTTCAATTAAAGCCATAAATTGTAATTCTGGGTCATTTAAGTCTTAATGTCCCCAGAGTCTCTTTAAAAGGTGGCCATCTAAGATAGTGGCCAAGACACGCCTCACCTTTTTGTCATTGGCTGCAGTCTTATAAACCTTAGACATAGAGTAGGGTGGTTCCTTAAACTGTATACCTGAGCTAGCCTCCATAACACTTTGAAAGAACTGAAAATTAATTATGTAGATACACAGTATGTGCAATATGCCTTTTATCCACAACTCTAAGTCTATCAGATTCTACAGTTATCCATCTGCCATTCTTAGCAAGCTGCAGTGGCTTTGCAACAGTCCCAGCCTGAGTTTGTTTAACAGAGAATTTACAAATCTCAGACTTCAAAAATATAATCTCCTGCAGCAATATAGAGAACTGTCTAAAGATTAGACAGCTTCCAAAACTCCAAAATAGTGGAACATATGCATAACCACTATTACACTGACCTAAATCTGCCATTTTAAACAAATCTTACTGTATACCTCAGACTACCTCCAGAGTATCTCCAGGTATTGTCCAGAATAGTCACACAGGAAAAACAGTAGATAGCAGTAAGTATTACCAGACCTTAGAGTGACTTGGCCTAACATATGAAGAACAAAAGATATAAATGTTCAATCATGGGGCAAGGGCAATTGTCCAATCCAATCGAAGATCAGGGATAGAGAAGAAAGTAGTCGAGAAAGGCCAAGATCAACAACCAGGAATCAGAGTATAGAAAAAATGTGCACTGAGATAACCATTCTGGAAACCACAACAGTGCACTGAGCAGATGTAAAGCTCAAGTGTAGCTGGGAGACCTTTGTTGTTTTGTATATATTTAATCAAGAATTTATAAATGTGAGTGGGCATCGGCAATGGAGAGATGTGTCATGACGTAGATGCGACTTAATGACCTCATAAAAAGTGGAAGTGGCTTTTGAATGGCTGGCAAAGGTGTCTGAGGGTGTGAAACTGATGTGGTGCCTACTTGGGCAGGTAAGGGAACCAGGTGAGTGCCATAGCGCAAGGGTATGTAATCATTGCATAATTCCATTGTTATAAAAATCGCACAGCCCAGACAAACACAGCTTTTATAGATGCTTAGGCCACTTGCAGCCAAATGGACCCTTCTAAAACCTTCCAACATCCCCATATTGGAAAAAAGGTTTTTAAAAAAACATATGATTGAGGCGGAGCCTAACCCTTCATGGAGACGGACGCGTGAGCCGTTAGCTCTCCGACCCCGGGATTGCAATCCGACGCCATCAGCGCCTCCATTCAGGCATCTCGCCACTACTCACCCACCGATATCCCCCACTCACCTTATTTACCCCCCGGCACCATGGGAGGCACGAAAAAAAGAAGAGATACCACCCCGTCCGTGGCCACATTGTTCCGCGGGAAAGAAGACGGGCGGCCATCTTTGTCACAGGGCCACACAGAGACGGGCTCCGACTCAGACGATTATGAGGCCGCCGAACGGCATGCGGCCCCCCTCACAAAAGAGGACCTTAAGAAGCTGCTTAAAGAAACATCCGACGACATCAAGGCATACACAGCGGCCGCCCTGGAAAAACAAATTGCTGGCCTCAAGGATGATATAGAGGCCCTGACATCGCGCACCAGCCGCACTGAAACCCAGATTGCAGAAACACAGGACAAGTTAAAGACACACACCGGAGACATAGGGGCCATGCAGGATAAGATCTTGTACCTGGAGGATGGCCTGGAGGACCTAAATAACAGGTCACGGAGGCAGAATATCAGGATACGAGGCCTCCCGGAATCAGTCCTACCCGAGACACTATTACCAACCGTCCGGGCGATCTTCCAATCCCTCCTCCCAGACGCTTCCGAACAGGACCTCTACATAGAGCGGGCCCATAGAGCCCTGCGCCCCCCAACATATAACATGAATGCCCCTAGAGACATCATAACCAAGCTCCTCTACTTCCCAATTAAAGAGAGGCTTATGAAGGCTGCGCGGGACAACCCGCCAACGTATCAAGGCCAAACCTTGCATTTTTATCAGGACCTGCCACCGACCACGCTACAGAAACGCCGGGATCTCAAGCCACTAACCACCGCGCTTGTGGAGAAAGGTTGGCGCTACACGTGGGGACATCCCTTCAAACTACATGTCAAGATGTCAAGAAGGGTGAGCAGACATACACTCTCCACCAAGTCACGGATATGCAAGACTTTGCCCAGTACATCGGACTCTCACTACGCCAACCAGCCCAGGAGACCGAATCCTCCACATCCGCAGGGGACAACCGACGTGACGAACCAAGACCTCGTCATCCCCGACAACAGGCCAAACCAAGACCCCCAACCACTTCTGTGGGCCAGGCACATACGGACACATGAACTGGGGCACCCGCCCGCTACAAGACCGTCCTGCCAAACCTCACGGGCCTCCCGTGACTCTTTCCAGTTCATAGCCGTAAAGTATTAAGTTTACAAAATCCTACTAGGTTTATTGTTGAAAGTTTGTGTTAAATTCCAACATGCGCAATGTCAGCCCGGGCACCCAAGGAATACCTTAGCTGCATACCTGTAGCACCCACCCGAGCCACTATCACCTGGGCCATCCCCCCACGTACGGTCACTGGCCTTGGGCACGCCATTAAGGAGGGGGAGTATAACCGAGAGCGCCCCAAGCCTATAACCCCAAACCTGAGAAGCTCGCCCAGAGGCCACATACCAACCTAGCAAGAGCAAAGTTAGAGGGGATAAATTGAAGGCGCAACAGGGGGAATGGGAGCCACTAGTTGACTAGACAGGCTCACGCAAGCGCATATTTATTACATGGTTATAAATGTTCTCTGCAAAATGACACGCTGTAATTTGTAATCTGAAGTTCAATGTTTAATAAGTTGTGTTAAGGTACGCAATGTTAACCACGTACTCCACAGCACCGGCCCCCCTGAACACCTTACAGACCCACAAGCCCCGCTAACAATTATGCCCCTATCCACAACAGAATTGAGGGCCCCACCTTCTACACACAGCACCCACCCCCTCCGGCTCACCAGGCAACCCGCCGAGCCAACCGTCAACCCACCCGGCTCTTGCTGACACTCTCGGGTCACAACTCCCGGCAGCGCAGAAATTCCACCGAGACACCCATCCCCGAGAGTGAAGCAGGAGAGGGTAATTTGAAGGCGCAGTATGGGAAACAGGAACCACTGGTAGGCTAGACAGGCCCGCGCACGCGCAAGCCAGGGGCCGCACACAACGCACAACGCTCACTGTATGGATATAAATGTACATTGCAACACGCTATGTTATTATATGAAGTTCAATGATTGTGATGTTATGTTATGGTATGCAATGTTAACCACATATCTCACTGGGACTGATCACCTGACCACCTAACAGACCCACTAGCTTTGCTAACACTCACGCCACTACACACGACGGAAATGGAGGACCCATCATCTACTCCCAGCACCCGCTCCTACCGGCTCACCAGACCACCCATTGAGCCACCTACCTACCCACCCAGCCCCGGACTACATGCCTAGACCGCTGCCATCCGCAACACCGAAAACCCATTGAGACACCCCCTATGCAACGACGCCTAGAGGGTGATACCGCTGCACCCCAGAGACAACCCGAAGACAGATACAGACCCGGACTAAACCCCCACAACTCCAGCAACACGAAGACAAGGGGTCCCCCCTCAGCCATCCACCTACAAAACGAAGCGCTGACGGTCCCCTCCAAAACCCGAGCTGCCCCACTCGCGGTGCTCGGAGTAGATTCTAACACTTGCTATCCCATATCATAACAGGGTAGAGTACCTTGCACTACAACCTGAGGCGCTTCTCACACACTAGCCAACCAACCCTGAAGTAGCACGGACATAACAAAGGCTCAGAACATGAAGGAGCGAACTAGATGAACCAGGTGCCCACACCCCGCACAGTACCTCGAGACCCTCTCTCCAGTATAACCCCACTAGGTAGAGGACCACCCACGAGGGCAACGGCCCTCCATATACTTGACCCATCCACAACGTCACGTGAGGACCATATGCACCCCCACCAGTCGGCACCCCAGGGTACTCCGCATCACATTAGACAAGCTGACTACCCCATGCAATACTCCCAGGATATGGACAGAGACAGACACTGTTGACCAGGGCAGAGACCGAAGAAAAGACACGACCACTTAACAGCGACCATAATCCTACAGTCGCAAACCCTCTGCCCACACACCACCTGGCAACTGCTCAATAAGACCAGGGACCCCCCCCCCCCCCCCCCCCTCCTTTTTTTTTTTCTCTCTCTCTCTCCTTTCTTCCTCTCCTCCTTCTTCTTCCCCTACCCGACACCAGGAACAACGGGACACGCCCCAAAACCAACACACGCCATCTATAGGAAATGCCGGCCACTCTGACCTGCCTATCGATCAACTGCAAGGGCCTCAACAACCCCTCCAAAAGACACCAACTTATGCGATGGGCCAACAACTCGAAAGCAGACATCCTCCTACTACAGGAGACGCACTTCACCCAAGCCAAACAGTTCCCTCTCCTAAGCCGACACTACCGGGTGAACCACTATGCCAGTTCCCCACTGGGAAAACACAACGGCGTTGCCATTATCATCAGGAAGTCCTGCCCCCTCACAGTCACCAACACAATCGCCGACCCACAAGGCAGATACCTCACCATAGCAGGCAAAGTCAGACCACAACAATTCGCCTTTACCTCGGTGTACGCACCCAATACACCCTCCAACTCATTCTGGAACACCCTCAGAGCACACCTGGCGCTCTTCCCCTCCCACCACCTGATTATCGGTGGAGACTTCAATGCTACCCCCTCACCCGCGGTAGACAGACGCCGAGACGGCACCCACTCACACCGCCAACAACCAACAGCACAAGCTGACAAACTCCTCGCGACATTCCTCGCCCGAACCCACTTCATAGATGCCTGGAGAGCACAACACCCCACGACACTAGATTACACCTTTTTCTCACACCCGCACCATTCACATTCCCGCATAGACCTGTTCTTGATATCCCCGGCACTGGCACCCGCACTCAAAAGCACGGACATTGGCCAAATCACCTGGTCCGACCACACGGAAACCACACTAACCATCACTATCCCAGGCGAAGCACGTCCATGGACGTGGAGACTCAACCCCACGCTACTCCACAACCCACAGATCCGAACAACGATCGCCCAAACCATAACGGACTACTTCGAACTAAACAAAGACTCTGTAAACTCTCACTGCACATTATGGGCAGCCCACAAAGCGGTCCTGCGGGGCGCACTAATCAACCAAGCTACGATACAGAAAAAAAAACGGCTCGCCCGCTTGGAACAAGCCCTGAACACGCTTAGAACCCTGGAGACCAAGCTAAAACTCGATCCCGCACCAGACCCGATAGCGAAAATTGCAAAATACCAGGGTGAGATCAAGGAATACATGAAACAAGATGCAACAAAAGCTCTACTATGGTCGAAACAGCTCTTTTACGATAAGGCTAATAAAGCCGACACACTCTTAGCAAGAAAACTTAGACATCGAACGGCACAGAAACAGATAAACAGAATTACCGCACCGAACGGACTCACAACCGAAGACCCCACCAAGATCGCCGAAGTCTTCCAAAACTACTTCGCGTCCCTATACGACCATGACCCAGAAACATGGCGGAACCCAACCGCCGCCCAAACTCTCATCGACCATTACCTGGCGCACACCCCGCTACCTTCGTTATCCGACGAGGCAATACAAAAACTGACCAACCCGATCACACCAGAAGAACTCGCAGGCACATTGAAATCACTCAAACCAAACAAAAGCCCGGGCCCAGACGGTTTCACTGGATTATATTACAAGACGTTCGCCCCTACACTGATCCCCCACTTATGCAACTTATACAACGCTATCCTACAAGGCAACGCACTGCCACAAGAAATGCTTCAGGCTGCAGTCTGCCTCCTCCCCAAACCTAATAAAACTCACTTAGACCCAGGCCACTTCCGGCCCATCTCCCTACTTAACGTGGACATAAAGCTATTCACCAAACTCCTAGCAGACAGGATAGGCCCCCACCTACCCCAACTTATCCACCCCGACCAGGTGGGGTTTATCCCCACGAGACAAGCCAGCGATAACACTAGAAGAACATACGACCTCATATGGGCCGCCTCCATTAGACGCATCCCCACCCTCCTCCTATCCCTAGACGCAGAAAAGGCTTTCGACAGACTGCTCTGGCCGTATCTCTTCGCAACCCTCCAAAAATTCGGATTCCCGGCAAGCTTCCTAGACGCACTACGCACACTGTACGCCTCACCCCGAGCCAGCCTCTTACTACCCCTTACGCAACCACCCACGTTCACCATACACAATGGAACACGACAGGGCTGCCCTCTATCACCGATCTTGTTCGCCTTATCCCTAGAACCGCTCCTACAGAACCTGCGACGACACCCTGATATAAAAGGCCTCAAAATTCGCGATGAAACTTACACCACCGCAGCTTACGCGGATGACTTACTTATCACTCTCACGGACCCGACGACATCCCTACCGCCACTCCTACGAGCCCTAGAGGAACACACCAGGATCTCCGGGTACAAACTCAACATGGACAAAACAGAAGCCCTGCCCATACACATTGACCCTGCCACTCTAGAGGTCCTCCAAAAGACGTACCCTTTCAAGATAAACACTAGCCACATACAATACCTAGGTATCGCGCTACCCATAGATCTAACTCAAAGCTACAACCTGAATTATACCCCAACCATACAGAAAATCACACACGACATCAACACATGGCAAAACATGCCGATATCCTGGCTGGGCAGACTAGCCTCGATCAAAATGAATATCCTGCCGAGGCTCTTATACCTATTCCAAACCCTCCCAATCCCTATCTCTAACCCGGACTTCAAACGCTAACAGACAACAATAGACAGGTTCATATGGTCCAACCGCCGCACACAAATAAAACGGCAAACCATGTATGTACCCAATAGGGCGGGTGGCCTCGGCCTCCCCCACCTGATTCACTACTACCAGGCAGCACAACTGACGCAAGCACAAAATTTGCACGCCCCATACGGAATCAAACGGTGGGTGGATCTTGAGCACGACATATTCGGCAGAGATCACCCCTCCCTCTACATCTGGCTACCAAAACAGGCCAGACCCCCCATGCCACGAACGTCCCCAGCAGTAATCAACACCATCAGAACATGGGATCGAATAGTACACAAAAGCGGCCTTACCACACCCCTGTCCCCGCTAACGCCAATACTTCGCAACACGCAATTCGCCCCAGGCATGACACCTAAAGATTTTACACGATACGAAGACAACAACCTCACGCGATTCCACCACTTCTTCCAGGGACAACAACTGACGCCATTTCCCGACCTACAGCAAACGACACCTTTCCAAACATTTGATCTATTTA